GTCTGTCCCCTGCTGCCCCCCCTCCCATGGCAGCAGGTGCTTGTCATCATGCAGCTCTTGGGGCAGCGGCAGTGGGGTGCAGAGTCCAGCCTACAGCAACAGCTGCCTCTGCCTCATTCATAGATCTGGGGGGCAGCGGAAAGAGCTGCAGCCCCCCTCCCCACACCCCCCGGATGAACTGCTCTTGTGGATCCATCCTGCAGTCTGCCCTGGCTATGCAGCACCTGTCCCTGAACCAGCCCCACTCCCTCCCTCCTCCTGCCCCTTTAAAACAAGAGAAGAATATAAAGGGGTACATGAGCTGCAACTTTGAGGTAGAAGGGGTACACTTGTTAAAAAAGGTTGAAAACCCCTGCTATATCTTATTCATATTTTCTATTCTATAAAGACTGTGAAGCTTTTTTTATTGCTTTGTATTGCAAATCCACTACAAAATAAGCTGCATCCACAAGCTACCCTGTCCTTTGGTTGTCTGATGCTTACTTTACTATGTTAATACTTTTAGAATGTTTGTGGCAAAATTTAATTAAAATGCATTATTCCTGTATGAAATAAAGCAACATACTATCTGCAGTGGTAATGCAATTACAATTACCTCCTGATATAACTGGAGTATATTTTTAGAGGTTAGTGAATGTAAGGCACAGTGGGGAAGAACTGTCAGAGATAAGGATGTTTGCAGAATTTCTTAATTTCAACCCTTTGGTCTGTATTTTATTTTATTTTTTGATATTTTTAAATAACTATTCAAGGCAGTGGTCACCAACGAGTGGATCTTGATCCACCGGTAGATCTCGGAGCCTCTGGGAGTCGATCCGAGGCTCGGGTGGGGGGCCGAGTGCCTGTGTGCATGCACACACGTGCCACAACCCAGCAGGTCAGTCTGTGGGGGAGGGATGGGGTAAGGGCTAGATGGAGGCCCCTGCGGTGAGGGACAGTGCCAGAGGCAGGAGCAGGGGTAAATTGAGTGGGGCCCTGGCCGGGTGAGACTTACCTGCTGGGGAGGTGCACCCCCAAATAATTTTTCTCCCTCTGCCTCAATCTGCCCCCTCCTCACCCTCCCCACAAACTTACCTGCTGGGCAGGGGGTGCTGGCAGCACACAGGAGATCTTGGGCTGCTTTTAAACGCCAAAAGTGATCTCCTACTTAAAAAGGTTGGAAACCACTGACTCAAGTCATATCATTACTCAGTTGGAGTCCGCTGTCTCCCACCATTTGATCATCTGAACTCCAGGATTTAGTCTCATTAAATAAAAACATATCTATATATTGCAGATTGTTTTCTGAAGTGCATTCTCACTCTCAACGTTTTAAAAAGGTACATTATTGCTCCTTTTGAAAAATTACATGTGAGATCAGAGCTGTCCCTTTGCATCAAAATTATTTATAATCTGAAACACAATGCTTTATAACTGGGGCTGCTAAATACTGAGAATCAAGTACAGAACATAAAATAAGTTTAAGCTTTAGTAAAAACAGAGTATTTGGGTAACAGTCCAAATAGTCACTAGCTTTATCTGGTCTGCCAAAGGCAGACAGATTCATAATAAATAAGATTACTGTGAAGAAGTATAATAGTACTTAATCCAGTTACGTTATTGATTAAGAGATCAGACCCACCAAAATATACAAATATTAATGTGAACATGTTTCTTATACTAACAGCAATGAAAAATTGATCCTAGCAGGTTGCTTCAATTAAAAAATAATTTGCAGAAAAAATATTTAAATATGATTTATATTCATTTTTTTTAGCATTTTTATCAAAATGCTACTGCTATGCTCATTAACATAGAGCAGGGGTCTGCAGCCTATGGTGTGCAGGCCTGATATGGCTTGCAGAGCTTTAGGATCTGATCCGTGGAGTTGTGGCTTCGGTGGCATTCAGTGGCAGGGTGCTGTCCTAACACCATTTCAGTCAGCTGCCTGGGGTTCGCACAGAGGGGGAACTATCCTTGTGCTGCACCTCGGTCAACTTCCCAGGGCCCCAGTGGAGGGGGAGCTCTGCCCTAGGTGACGCATAGGAGTGGCATGGGGGGGCACATGCCGCCCCTGAGATTGGCTGTGCCAATGTCTGTGGGCAGTCCCCACTCACTGCTCACCCCACCCCCCTGCCCCGCTCCACCATCAATACCTCTGCTGGCGTTTGCAGGTGGTCCCTGCTCACCGCAGGGTCCCTGCTCAGTCTCAAGAGGCACCAGTCATTCATGGCTCTGCCCGTGCCATGCTGCAGTTGGGTGTTATGGGCTGTGGCAGAGGGGGCGCTTTCACTGTGGCACACTGCTGCTGAGCAGTGGAGAGGTAGCAACAGCAGATGAGTCCTCCAACCCAAGCTGGGTCATTCTGCCCTCCTTCCCCCTGCATCAGAAAACATTGCCAACCCTTGATATAGGCTGCATACAGACGTTCATTACTTGATAGCCTGCCCTTTTCCCTACCTGGGAAGTGGGCAGGCTGTCAAGCGGTAGCTGGTAGCTGCTGAAAAGCAGCTGCTGCCATAGACAGCCCCAGGAGGGTTCCTGCCTCTGGAGAACTCCCCTCCATCTCTCCAATCAGCAGCTGATTGACAGTTCAGAAACCCTCCTGGTTTCCCCCTGCAAGAGAGTTGCCTCTTCCAGTCTGACCAAAGAAGTGGGGAGGGAAGGGGGACGGCATTCAGCAACTGTAGTAAGCAGGGTGGATTTGATTTAAACCAAATCGATTTAAAGCATGATTTAAATGACTGGTCAGGAAGCCTCCATTTAATCACGGTTTTCTACCAAAAATGCATTCTTGTTGTTTTGATATCCTGTATTCATTTAACTTTGTGAAACTTTGCACTGTTAGAGAAAGGTAAGGGCTTGAGTGTGTGTACACAAACTTGCAGAGAGACAATAGGGATAATGGGTGAGTAATAATCAGGTCTGTTGTCTCTCATCTCCATATGTTGCTGTTAATAAAGAGGTTATCTCTGGAGACAAGAAACGCTGTCTTTGCCTGAAGAAAGGTGTTTGTGCCCGAAAGCTTGCAAAGAACAATTTTTCTGATTATTTAGTTGGTCTAATAAAAGATATCACATTTACCCAAAGAACTTTGTCTGCCTATGATCTCTGAAGACACAAATCCACAGTTTGAGAACTGAAACTAAGCATTACAGAGATGTTTAATGGGATCTTCGAGACTGAGTCCCACTGTTTTTTTTTTAATCTTTACTAATCTATAGAGGAGGGTCGGGGGACCGTACAAGGTGGGGCCCGAATATAGACCATGGCCTGTTGTGACCTATTTATAAAATTTCGAAAAAGTTTACATAAATATATTGTCTCAAATATTATATAATTAAAAGTTATAATCCATATTCTATGATGAGATCTTTGAGCTTTAACATATCAGAAATTAAAACTATCTTTATATAGATTTTTTTAAGCATCTTAAAAAACAATAAATATAATTACATAAAAAAATCTGATTTACATTTTTAAAAATCTGATTTTTTTTTTAAATCATTGATTTTTATCCACCCTGGTAGAAAGGCTCTGGGAGCTGTAAAGTAGGGACATGGCAGTCTGCCTTTCCTCATGGTGCTCCGGGCTGACCTAAGCAGTGTGGGGTGCGGTAGGGGCATTTTCTTAGAGCAGCAAAGCAGCCTGTCTCACCCTGCACTGCTCTAGGTCAGCTGGAGCACATAGGTGGAAAGTGGGAAGTGGGATTGATGGGTGAAAGCGCCTGTATGTCTGCCCACTTGTGGTTTTTACTAGTAGAATGGTTATTCTCCCAGTAGAAACCGAATGTGTGAAACCTGGCAGAGAGGAAATGGCACAATTAATAAATGTATCTAGTTGAATGGTAAATACATTGCCAGAGCTTCTTCGCTATAGCTGCTAAAATTTGAAATTAGTAGTACTGGAAATAATGACTTAGGTGTATTTGCTGTTTCAAGTACTGAACAGAGAATAAAAAGCTGTGTATGAAAATTGTATATTGCTGTTTATAAATATTTGAACATGTTCTGTACTGTAGAATGAATGTTGCTAACATTTTCATGTTTTTGTTAATAGCTAAGAAAAAACTTGCCAACATATCTGAATTTTTGGAAGGCTGCTCCTTGTATCTTTAAATCTTCAAAAGCAGAAAATATTCCCAATCTCAACGATGAGATGGTGCGTGCTCCCCTTCAGACCTTAACAGAAGAAGAGCAACTGCTGAAAGAAACAGGTACCTATTTTTTTGCCTTGTTCAAACTCTTAAAAGGGAATGTTTTTTATCCAGATGTTAGTGAAAAGTTCAGTGTTAAAATATTGTAAAGTAATAGTTTTTTATTATACGTAGTTAAATTTGGAGATCATTGTGTTGATCTTTATTTAAAAATAAATTGAGAACTTGAGTTGAAATTTTGATTAGGTCACAAGGGAATGAATTTGGTCTTATTTTGCTACTTTTTCTGTATTCTAAGCTAACAAAATATTAATCTATTCAGTCTGAACTGTAAACTGTTCAAGAACTTTGACAGAAACAAGGTTGCCTAGTAGTGGCTGTGTTCAGATGTTACATTTCTAGCACTATGTATGCCCTTGTAGTGTCATAAATATTGCACATTTCAATATGCCTTCAGCCTGTAGCTTTACTAAAATGGTGCAAGTGCATCAAAAATGGCAGAATCACTGCATAAATATTCCTAGATGAAAAAGAAACTTCTCTATAGTGCTTGGTTTTATAGTGCCACATGTAATGTCTGAATAGTACACTCTGTCCCCCAGTGCTCACCCTCCCTCCCCCCACTCCACCTTTGAGGGGTAGCAAGAGCCAGGGTGGACAGATAATGAGTGCTGCATGGCTGCTCAGCTGTCATCAAGGCTGGGAAGCAGGGAGCTAAAATGCAACTTTTCCTTTCCCTGGCAAGGCCAACCAATCCCCTGTTGCCCTTTGACTGGAAAGCATGTGGCTGGAAGCCTTTGGGGTGACTTCATAGTGCTCCAGCCAGAGGGCTTCGCACATGTTAACGTACATTTTCATAACACTTCAAAGTGCTGCAGCGCATAGCATTATAGACGTGTATGTCTGAACATGGCCAGTGTCATGTCCTTCTAGAACAGAGGCTGGCAGTGTTTTCTGGCAGGGGGATCAGAATGACTCTGTTCAGATTGGAGGGAGGAAGATGTTAGGACCCAGCTACTACTGCCCCCTCTACAAGAGCCTGTGCTGCCTGACTGTAGTGGGGCATGGGCAGAGCTTCCCCTCTGCTGGAGCCCCAGGAAGCTGACTGCTGTGCAATGCAGGGAGAGTCCCCCCTCAACCCCCAGCCAAATGCTGCCAAAGCAATGCCTTCACAGGCCAGGTCCAAAGGTGCTGTGGACTGTATTTGGTCCACAGGCCATAGGTTGACAACCCCTGTTCTAGAGTCTTGAGTTCAGCTACGCTTACATGTCTGAAAAATTGAGATATGAAGTTAACATACATGCCATCCCACAAGGCAACTTTAACTCTGCCTCTGGACCTAGCAATAACCATTAAATGTGGTGCGTAAACTGTAGTAGACCCTATGCTGCTTGATGATGGTAACGTAGTATTCACTTGCATCTACTTGACCAGAGAATGGATAAGAAAAGAGGAAAGAAAGGAAAACAGGCAAGGCAAGAAGAGTGTAGAACGTGCAAGATAGGTCAGGAAGGTTGCTTAGAGTTCATTTAGTGGTTTTATACCAGTTGGATCTGGTTATGGTTCAGAATGAAGAGATGAATGTTTTGTTAGCCCAGAATAGCTGAATAGCCTGTCTGCAGATGAACTAAGATAAGCACTTGTTTCAAACTTAGCTTTTAAAACTAGGTAAGAAGTCCTTTTTCCTAGCCGGCTGGCCATCTGTTAATAGGCTTTTCAAGACTTTTGGACTTGGAGAATTTAAGATTAATTTATTTCAGATAGGAATAAGATTATTATTTCTTTAGCTGTATGCACATTTTATCATGTTTAATCATTTGTTTGATGTGCCTTATTAGTACTGTTTGGTCTTCCATATCTGATTTGTATAATATTAAATTTGCTATTAATTTTTTTTTACATTTACTTTCTTGAGTATTTGATTTGTGATGGGACTGGCTCCTTGAAACCTTCCTTTGGTTCAACTGTCCTCTGGGAGTCAAAAGATGCCATAAGTGTAGACACAGTGACAATATGTATTTTGTGTTCCGTGTGTGTAAATTCCAGCATCTATTTGCATATATTCCCATTGACTTAACTATGTTATAAATTTCAACCATTTTGAACAATGAGGGGATTAGTTGGGAGCAGATTGTTAGAAGTGATCACTGTGAGTGCTGACACGAGTGATATTTTGTCATGAGTTCAGCCCCATGAAGTGCTCCACAGCTGTGCTCTTAGAGAAGGGCACAGCTGCAGAGCCCTTTGAAAGGGCCCAATCCCACAACAATCTGAATCCTCTTTACATGCGGGCTCAGATGAAGGTGTCCAGAACTGAATGCCTCCATTAACTTGTGTCATCACGTGCTGGGAGCAGAATGCAGCCCAGCCCTGCTCCCAAATGGGAGAAGGGGAAGGGAGCAGAGGGAGTTCCATCTGGCATTTGCCCAGCCCAGCCTGGAGGGTAGGGCAGATAGATTGGAGGTTGGGGGAGAGAGGGGTACGTTTGTGACTTCTAGGTGTATGAGGCAGAGAAGCCTCAGGGCAAAGATGGATGCAAGGTCTGTACTGTTGGGGAGAATTCATAGGAGACTCCAGCTAATAAACAGCAAACTTGAGTTTCTTTTCCTTATATTTATGTAGTTTTTGTTCAACCAAAATAGTACACACTAGCAAACTATATAGCCACATTCCCTTAATACAATTTAAGTCTATAATCTCTAAACAACAGCATAAAACCAGATCCACAAAATTGCACTTTGTGTTCTGACTTGTGACAAGCAAAACTTTCATATGAGAATGACCCTATCATAGATTTCATAGACATTAGGGATGGAAGGGACCTTGTAAGATCATCAGGTCCAGCCCGCTGCCTAAGGGCAGGAAGTCAGCTGGGGTCAAAGGATCCTAGCAAGATAGGCATCCAAATGTTTCTTGAAAGTGTCTAGAGCAGGTGCTTGCACCACCTCTGGGGGGAGTCTATTCCAGGCCCTGAGGACTCAGACAGTAAAGTTTTTCCTTATGTCCAACCTACAATGATCTTCCAGGAGTTTGTGACCATTGGACCTTGTCCTCCCTTGGGGTGCCCTGGTGAACAGACATCCCCCCAGTTTCTAAGCCTAAATAGGCTGTGCCTTATAACTTCAACTTGGGGAGTTGCTTCTTACTGAGACCATAAAAGCTATTGCTGGTAATTAACCAAGACATCCATATTGTTTTTAGCATGCTAGATCTTTCTGCTTGGGGCCACCCTAGGACATTGTGATGTTTATCTGTGGGATAGGGCTGTGCGAAATGTCTATGTTTCATTTTGGTTTCGGATTCGGCATTTCGGAGGGACAGTGTTTCATTTCAGTGTTTTGGATCACTGTCTCACTTCAATTTGGCCAAATCTGTTTCGAAGTTTCAATGCTGTTTTGGTGTTTCAGCCATAGGCTATAATGGGGAATCACTAAAATGCCTATAATTTAGTCATTTCTCGGCTGATTTGGATGAAAATTGCAGGGATGGTAGCCCCTTCAGAGGACATGAAGCCTGCCAAGTTTCAAGGAGATAGGTACAGAGTTTTTTGTGAAACTACGCCTCAAACTGTTCAAAGCAAAACTCGTATCACTTGTCAGCAGCAGCAGCATGCTGTCATCCTGCACACAGATCCCTGGGGTTGTCAGCCCCTGGATCCACACGCGGGATGACAGCATGCTGCCACTGCCGGCTGGGGCCAGTGGCAGCACCCGAGTCTGCTCCGCGCACCCTGCACCGAGCGCTAGGAAGGCTGGTGGAGCCAGTGGCCCCAGCCAGCAGTGATAGCACGCCGTCATCCTGCACGCTGATCTGGGGGCCTGTGCCCACTGGGAGGCTGCAACGCTGTGCCAGACTCTTCCCGGGAGCACAGGCCCCTGGATCTGTGCACTTGATGACAGCAGGCTGCCGTCCCTCCCCCAGAGCACTGGGATTGGAAGGGACTCAGGGACAGATCTCAGACACTGGCTAGCTACAGATATCAATCAGAGCAGTCCTTCCCCCCCCTTTCTTCCCCCTCCCTCTTCTGAGTTTCTGTTTCCCCGCAAGCCAGCCTCTGAAACGTTTTGCATGGTTTCATTTCAGAGATGTTTTGGAGCCTTCTGTTTCATTTCAGATTCAGTGTTTCAGGCACCAAAATGGGCCAAAAAACCTCCGAAAAGAAACGAGTGCTGAAATTTCGCACGGCCCTACTGTGGGACATCTTGCATTGGTCACTGAATGATGTGGATGCCCACCTCAAATGCTATGTTGCTGACTCAGATACTGCTTCTTAAAGTAGATGGCTAGAATGCTTGTATTTTTTTTTCTTCATTACAGTGAAAAAATTTGCTCAAGAACGAATTGCCCCTTTTGTAAAAAAAATGGATGCTGATGGAAAGATAGAAGAATCTGTACTTCAAGGATTGTTCGAACTAGGGGTCTGCACACTTTTATTTGATTTTAGTTCAATTCTGCTTTTACATTCGTACATTGATTAAATGTTGTCCTTTTCTGTTATCAAATCCAAATTTGTATTTAGTAAGAACATCTCTTTGTGAAAGACCATTCTCTGACAAATTTAAATGTCAGGCTTAATTCTGGCATTCATATTGCAACAATTAAAAACAGTACAGTAGGATCAGTCAGAGTGATGCCTGGCATATATATTGCCAGTTTTGTAACATGCTATATTTCTTGATTCTCATCAGGAGACTATTATCTGGTTAATTTATTGTAGGTACTACAATAGTAGATCTTAGGGAAAGGTTTGGAGAGATTTTATATTCTCTGACCTATTTTAATATCTAGCTATCTCCAAGTAATTGTATTTCCTGATACTGAAAGTATTCAAATGATCTTGTCAGCCTCACTTAGTGTCTGTAGGATCCTCCACACAATAGCCATATTTACATTCTCTCACTTAGCTGATGGGTATCGATCTTGGGACAGAGTGGGGAGGAACTGGATCTTCATTTTTTTCCACCATCCTGGTGGTAGAAGAATTGGCCAAGGTTGATGCAGCAGTAGCTCTTATATCTGAGCTCCAAAATACATTAATTAATAGATTACTTATTGTACATGGAACAGAAAAGCAAAAGAGGACCTACTTGCCTAGACTGGCTAAAGATATGGTGAGTTAAGTATTTTTCTAAATTATAATATAGTTTAACAAGATTTTGTAATGTTAATGTCTTTTTAGGGAATTAAATGATCAAATGCAAGGGTGTCAAACTTACGGCCTACAGGGCTCATAAGCCAGGAATTTAGGGGAGGGACAAGTGGGGCAGGGCCTGCTGCTAAAATCTGGGCCATGGGGCCCTATTAGAGACACATGTTGGCAGCAGAGGGCAAGCAACAACTGCATTAACTGTGCTGCCACCACATCTGGCCCGGGGCAGGGTGAATTTGACATTCCTGATTTACTGCAGTATAAGGCAACATCATATATTAGCATGGACATTTTTTAATATCATCATTCTTAGAGAGGTGGTTCCATGGTAGTCAGAAGTAAGACGGAAAGTGGGGCAGGGTGGCACCTTAGGGCTCCTATAAATGTGCACAGAGCCTGCTCTGATGAGCTGGAAATCCAGCATGATTAATGGAGTCTGCTGGAGCAGGGAAATTGACACGCCCCAGCAGCCTTTGGTGTCATGTGTATCAGCATCCCCACACGTCTCCACGCTGAAAAAATGGCAACAGTGCACTTTGAAATAAAACACGTACAATGAGCTTTAGTTTGAAGTGTCCCGCTGCCATTTCTTCAGTGTGGGGATGCTGATACATGTGACATGTGGGCACTTTCAATTAGCATGGCTCGCTAATTAAAGCACCTGGCACTATGTTCCACAACACATGTAAAAATGCTCTTAGAGACTAAGTGGTTCAGAGAAGCATGAGACTTCATATGGCATGAGTACACATAACACGTAATCCAATTTAAATGCAGTCAGACCTGAAGTAGATGGACTTACAGACTTTCTAAATGGGTTTAAAGCTGATTGAAATCATTCAGAAGTACAGGGTGTTTATAAAGTCCTTGTGCAACTTTAAACTTTAATAACTGGATATACACATGATAGAAGCAAAGTGTAAATTGAGATTGAAAACATAAAGCTTTTTAGCATTGTGTAAGCTATGCATAGGGTAAGGATCACAAATGCAATTCATGAAATCACTCAGCAGCAATTGGAAAATGTTTTCTATGAGTTGGAAAATTGGATTGAACGATGTATCACGAAATATGGCAGTTATGTTGAAGTCTAGACATTTGAAATGTATTGTTAAAGCTTGGTCAATTATTCTTTCAATTGCTGTTTGTAGTTTGCTTCTATCGTGTGTACATCCAAAGTTATTAATGTTTAAATTTGCGCAAGGGCTTTATAAACATCCTGTATACCTAAAATAGCAAGCACTATTTTGAACTGGTTCAGTGTTGTGTGGACACCAAGCATTCTGTGACACAAGTATGGTTGGTCCTCCAGGCATCCCATACTGCATTGCTCCACCCTCCTTCCCCTCCCCGCTCCCCTCCCCCCCCAGCTGCATACCAGAGCAGTCCATTGCAGCACTTTACTGCCTCCACCCCTGCTTTTTTTCCCTTCTGTTGGTACTTTTTATTAATGAGCATCCCTGCACCGCTTGTTTGTCAGTCACTACTTGACTGTGGCGTCTCATCATGTCCCACCCCAGCCTCTGGGAATCCAAAAGTGCGGCTCCAAGCTCTCTCCTCCATCTCCCCAAATTAAGCAGGCACACTGCAGACTTTGGTCAGTTGTAGGCTGTTGAAGTTTATTGAACTTGTATTTAGGAGAAAGGAGAGTTGAATATTGAGCACACCCCAAGCCACAGGTCACCCACACCTGGGCCCTCCAATGCATGGGTGCAAGTACTCACCACCACCCCCTTATTCACCCACTGGAAGCCTGGGTGCTGGCTGCCATCCTTCAGTGCTGGAGCCGCGGCACTTCACACACAACTGTGGATCAGTTTCCAATCAGTGACATTTGGAAATGCTCAATTGTTATGTGTCCGCACCCTGCAGGCAACAGCTTAGTTTGTTGGATGCTGTTGCCTATGAAAGCTTATGTCTTAACATACATAACAGTTGAACTGTTCTAAAATGTCATTGATTGGGAACTGGTTCACATTTGTTGTGGAACAGGGTGTGGACACAAGTAAGAAGCCTTCATATTTGAGACGCAACTTAAAAACTTACTGTTAGTGGCTGTAATGCACACTCTGACTATCTGTAGCAATCAGTGTTCAAAATTCTGAGGTAGGTCCATGATTTGTTCTGGCTGAGCAGTAAAAGTAAATACCGTGTTTATGGACAGAGCCAATAAACAGTGGGACTGGAGTGGCTGCTGTATTAAGTGAACAACACTTGAAATAATTATTTTGATGGAGAAACAGCAGACATATCCCTTATTTTACCACAGAACTGGACATACATTATTAGTACTTAATGGGTGGTGACACTTCCCTACTATGATTTTACTGCAAACTTTGTGATATCTTCTGTTTAACAGAAGTTTAATTTTTTTAAAGAAACTTTTAGCACTCTTGCTTTCAGGAAAGTATCTTGTATGGAGCTGAGACTGGAACATTTGTCCTTAGTCTCAAAAATATAGATCTCTATTCACTTGCTCAAGAGGCAGTCTCTTCTGTCTTCAGTGAATAGTAGCTGATTTGACAAACGTGAGGAGGGGAAAAAAGTTCTTTACTGGAAGAAGCAGTGGGTTCATTCGACCCAGCTCTGCAGTGTCTGTATAGACCGGGCACTTCAGCAGGGCTTTTTGGCTCTTTTATCAAAAGCTGATTCAATCAGTTATGAGATAAAAGCACCAAAATCTTTCCTGCCTGGAGCAGGGGGGCTGGACCCAATGATCTCACGAGATCCCTTCCAGCCCTAAACTTCTGTGAATCTGTGTGAAAAGCTCCACTAAAGCTCCCAATCTATACAGATGTTAGGAGAGCTAGGTCCAACTAATGTGATGCCTCTTCTGGGCATGTGCAGGACTTGGCACAGGAGCACGCAGAGTTTAAAGTAAAACAACTCACTTCCCTCTCCTCCCAGCCAGCCCCAAGGCTGAGAAGGGGGTGTGGCTCCCAGCTCTTGGGGGCAGAGCCAAGCCCCCACTGCAGACTCCCCCTCCCTTCCCCAGGCTCGCACCACCCCACTGGGGGTCTGGTTCCCTCCTCCCTCCTCCCCACTCCAACCAGCAGTAGGGTCTGGTGCTGGGCCAGAGGGGCAAGTTTCCCCCTCTCCACCCCCCCACCCCTCCCAGTCGCCCAGAATGATATTGCTTTGGCTAGGGAGCAGAAGGGCAGGGCAGACCCTGCTTGTTGGAGCAGACAGCACATCCCAGGGCTGCAAAGCATCCTGGGATGCTGGGGGACTGAGTTAACTTGAACCAGGAGGGGATCTGGGACAGAAGTTCCATAAACCAGTTTGACTAAATCAGTTAAGTCTGATACTACGTCCAACCAGGTTTATCTTAAACCAGTTTCGGACATTTTGAAAACGGTTTATGTGCACTGAACTTCTGTTTTCTTACAGGTTTAAACCAGTTTCTGATCACTAAACTTAACCCTAGTGTTGTGAAATGTTTCCCTTGCCCTAGTGTCCTTAGTCCCAGTGTTGTGAAATGTTTCTTGACTTATTAGGGTCTTTAAGTAACTGTTATTTTCCCTTGTATAAAAGTTAACTTCATCTAAATCAGTGGTTCTCAACTTTTTAAACTCATGGCACACCTCAGAAAATACCAGTTCTTAGTTTTCACTATTTTTGACTTCAGAAAAATAATAGACCAATTCTTCTGGTGTAGAGATCTCAGAAAGGCCACAACCAGTTAGAATATCCTTGACACTATGGATTCCCCCTTGAAATCTCTGGATTTATCTTGTGAATCATGTTTGTACACCTAACAGTGCTAATATTGTGTAGCACCTCATGATGCCCTTGAAAGGATCTCAGAGCACCCTGGTTGAGAATCACTGATCTAGATGTATTAACATTAGTGTGAGGAGAAAATGTACAGGCACCCCTGCTTAATGCTGTTTTGCTTAGCGCTGTTTTGCTATATTGCTCATTTTAAATTGATACCTGATTTCACTTAGCACTCAGCGAGTTTCGTTATAACGCTCGCGGTCACCACCTCGGGTCATTAAAAACACTTATGGTTGCCATCTTGGTTCATCAAATACTTTTGGTTTTGCTTAACACTCGTTTCACTGAACGCTCATGTTGTCAATTAAGAGTGCTAAGCAGGGGTTGCCTATACCTGATTCACTTAGCGCGCTCAGCAAGTTTCATTATAATGCTTGAGGGGTCTCCATCTTGGGTCATGAAAAACACTTGTAGTTGCCATCTTGGGTCGTCAGGTACTTTCGGGTTCACTGAGCGTTCGTTTTGCTTAATGCTTGGTTTTTCAGGAACCAATTAAGAGCACTAAGTGGAGGGTTGCCTGTAGATCTTTAAAAAGCAGTAGTGTTATAAAACACCTTCCAACATGCATACCTGGGATTCCTTCTGTGACAAATGTTATTCTTTCATACTTGTGTACTGTAAAGTGTTTTATCCAAAATGATTTACTGATATAAAGGGTATTTAGAATACAAAGTATTAGGTCTGTTTTACAAATGGGTTAACTAGAAGTATAGAGAGATTACAAAGTATGCTAAAATTACAGAAAGAATCACTGTGGCAGAATAGGGAGGATGTCCCAGAGGTCATGACTTTGCTTCCTTCTCTTTACCTCTAGGCTATCCTCCCTTCATATCTGTAAACTTCACTTTGCCACTACACACAACATGCACATTAAAAAGTAGTTTAAATATTTAACAAGATTGATTGCTTTATGTCCACTTTGCTTTTAAACTTTGTTAATGTTTGCAATGCAAATATTTTACATAAAATCTATAAAATAGTTTTCCTTTTAATCAACAGGTGGGCAGTTTCTGTCTTTCAGAGGCTGGATCTGGCAGTGATGCATTTTCTTTAAAGACTCGCGCTGAAAAGAAGGGAGACTATTACATTATCAATGGCTCAAAGATGTGGATTAGCTCTGCGGAGCAGGCTGGAATGTTTTATGTCATGGCAAATGTAGATCCTTCTTTAGTAAGTTGCTAAGGAATAGCTGTGGCTGTTTCTGCTGATAGCTGGTAATATCATGACAATGCTCCTCATTTTGTGGTGTGAAGGTTAATATTCTTTGCCCTACAGCAGATAAACCTTTAAAAATTAGCTCTATTTCCTGAACAAAAATGGAGAACCTCACAAATAGTTTAACACAGTGGTGTTATTCACAAACTAATTTGGAAATGCTCCTTCTGCTGGAGCTGTGTCACCTGGCTCATGCGGCTCCCTACAGATTTGGAAATGTGGCAGCAAGGTTGCTGTAGCAGCATCAATTGCTCCCAGAGCCATGGCAATTAATGGTGCCACCGCTCCCTCACTGCCAAATTTCTGGACCCCTGGGGAGCCCCGTCCCCTAGATGACAGAGCCCTATGACCAGATCGGATCATCGTGCAAGGTTGGGCTGCAGCTGAATCCAGCACATGGGGTCACAGCAGCATGCTGGATTGCACGCATGAGCCAGTCCAGCGCACCAGGTTGTGACAACGTATCAGATGGCACATGTAGACCAACATGGCTCATGGGGCCATGACTGCACAACTGATCACATGTGTGAACTGACCCACATGGGATCCAGTCTGCAGACTGGTTCCATGCCACTCATCCAGCCCTTGGGGCCAGAGAGGTTAAACACCACTGACTTAACAAATTTCTTCCTGCCTTTGGCAAAATAAAAGTGACAAAAAGCAAGCTCAAATTAAGGCCACAAAGGGCACGTCTACACGTGCATTAATGTGCTTTAGTTAATGTGCATTAAATCTAGTACCCCCATACTAGGAAAATGCGCATTAGCCTATCTTAATGCACATTAACTAAAGAGCACTTTTTTAGCAATACTTTAATGCACATTAAAATAAGCTAATGCTCATTAAAGTGCACATGTAGACACGTCCAAAAAGCATTGGTACAGTAAACTGGTTATTTTTGCCTAGGGCAGGTAGCTCATGTAGCTTTTCTGAAAAGGTAGATGTGATGTTTTAGTCATTTGTCATTTTGATTTTAAGGCAAAAGTTGAAAAAAAATCCCAATTTGCCTGTTTTGGAATGTGAATACATTTCTACAGGTTATTTTAGTGTTAGATTTAGTGTTTAAGATAACTTGTGTTCTTTTGTTCAAAATAGGTACCTTCTGTGCCCATTGCTTGTGAGTATGATAACACTGCAGGGCTAAGGTTTGAAAACTGGGTATTTCTGCACATCAGTGCAAGTACAGGATTACCACTCCAACCATTAAGAAATCTTAAAGGTTATCCAGTCAAAGAATAAAAGAAACAATACTAACTGTTGCTATCTTTTCACAGTAAATTAACTATCGTTTAAAAACTAGGAAGAGAGGGACTGTGGTCTGAAGTGTCAGCCACCAGTGATGAGGAGGAGCTGAAGTATTTTGGGTACTCTGCTATCCAGGCCCTCAGCTGGATATGCAGAATGCTTTCAGCACCCACCAGATGCTGCTGTTAGCTAAAAATCTCTAACTCTGCATCACTAGATCCACATGTTTGAAGCAGAATATTTGTGCACAGAACATAACTTGCAAAACAAGAGTTATAGTTCCTACAGATAAATCTCCCTTCCCCACCCCTCCCCTCCTCTCCTCGCTTCAGTTTTTGTGTCCAGTATCAGAGCTGCTCAGGGTGGCTGAGACAGGGGGTGGTAGCATGCAGAATTGGGAGGGCACATCCTCGTAAAATTGCTCATAAAATCTTTAGAGAATTTAGCTGTGTTCAGTGAGCATATTTTAAAAGTTGTGTAACATGGTCAAATCTCAGCATTTTTTTATCCCATGAGGACAGCCAGAAGCATTTCCTTGGTCCTTATTAAATTCTGTTTACAGCAGATATTGCTGAGGAAACAGAGTAGTTGATAATGCCACATTTTGCCTATTAATATAACATTCAACAGGTTTAAACTGTAAGATGGGGAAATCAGTTAATCAAAAATTATTGATTAGATGCTTTGTTTTTATTTATTCCTTAGGGATATAGGGGAATTACATGCTTCATAGTAGATCGTGATACAGAAGGACTATGTGCAGGGAAGAAAGAGGATAAACTGGGACTCAGAGCATCTTCTACATGCCCAGTAACATTTGAAAATGTTAAGGTACAGTAAGTGTTCTAAAGCTTCTGGTGGAAGTTTAGTGATTTTGAAGTGTGTTTTATGTATGATAAAGTTAAAGGAAAGAAAGCTCAATAAGGGCTTGATTTTTCACGTGCTGAATCTTGTGAAGGTGTAGCAACTACCCAGCACTCCTGAGGATCATCTTACCTCGGTGTTATAAGTTTCCACTAATGGGTCAATTTTGAATACTCTTTTCTCTCTCCCTATTTATAATCCTGTGTGCTGGCAAGGGTTCTACAAAAGTGCTATGGGAATCGAATTCCCTTTTTTATATCGTTGCCTTCAGTTATAAGGTGTATTAAATAAAACATGTACTCTGATTCAGCTGTGAGCACTCCTAGCAGTTGCAGAACAGAAGAGAACAAGGAGTAATTGAGTGATTTTTATTCTTTAGGTTCCTGAGACCAATATCCTGGGACAGCTTGGACAAGGCTATAAGTATGCAATCGGAATGTTAAATCGGGGCAGAATAGGTATTGCTGCGCAGGTGGGTAACAGTGTTTAATGTGATTGTTCTGTAGTTTGAATTGGGACTGAAACCTTTAAAACATAAGAGATTGGAAAAGGTAAATTATAAAGAAAATTCTTTATGAAAAGACTCTGTGTTGCCACCAGATGTCACTCTTTCTTTATGTAAGGCGAAGCAGTAGTATTTGGTATAGAGCTGGGGGGGATGGAAAGGCTGGGCAGCCTCCACTTCTCCATACTCATGTCTAGCTGTACACGTTGTAGGTATGGGTGACCTCTCATGCATACACCAGGATCCAAAAGGTACAGCGGTTGCCTACTACATATGGTGAAATTTCAGTCAATGTCAGAATTCTGGCTCCATGAGAACCATAGTGCATTAAATAGCAATTATTCTCCAATGATAAACTTCCTAATTTTGAAATGTATCTAGAATGTTAGCTTACATTGTATTTATTGTTTCAAACAGCAACCTTAGCTCTTTAGCCAATACTGAATATAACACGGTAAAAATAATAGTTAGCACCGCTCAAATTGATTCTAGGGAAGCTGAGTGAAGTTTCATATTCGCTTTTCATCTTAATTAGGTTTTCACATCAACTTGTTTAGAAGTGGTCCCAAAACAAAAATTGATACTTTGTAACAGAAGTCCTCTGAATCAGTGGTACTGTACAACATTTTTTGTTGTTTTAAAGAAAAAATATCTTGTTATAAACCCAATTCAGATACCAAAATTTCAGTTGATTTCAGTGGATGCAGGATCCAACTCTAAAGGTTATGAGGCTTTTGAATTACTTGACTTATATTTAAAAAATGTACTTCACAAATATTTTGCTAAAGAAATAGATATGCCAAGTTGGGCGTGGTGCATCTGTGCTTATAATTTTAAAGGTTATTTATTTTCCTTTTCCTTTTCAAATTGCTGGTAGACAGCTCAGGTCCTAGGCTTGCCATATAGTGGGGTAGAGCAATGCTACTTCAAGTCTGCTTTTCCATCATTTTTAAAGATCATCTATGATTAAACTTTGTCATATATGGCCTTAAAACTAGAGAACTGGGGCCCATTGTTCCCAGAGATATAAATAATATAGATGTTCTGGCAATAAACTACACTGTCTGGGTTTTACTCTAATTAATGTACCCTAATTAAAAGTTAAGGTCAGGTAGTTGTTATATCTTAGTTAATACTTTTTGACACCTTCAAATAAAGAGAAATGTGCTTGAATGAACAAGAACAGCAGTTTTAAAAACCCTGTAGTATTGAATTTAGTTTTGAAGTAGTAATAGTAAAAGGTAATGAACATCTTATAAAAATATGATTGTGGCTAAGAAAACAGTTTCAGATAGTTCTGATGTAAAGTAGACATACATGATGTTGTATATGCTAAAGTTTATATGATTTGTTTCTTTACAGCAATGCAATGCAATCCTGTAATGTAGCGTATAGCTAATTAGGATTGCTACAATCAGATTTTTTTATACTGCTTCTCCATATGTTGTTTGAGCTGTAATGCCATGAGGAAATGTCTAGGGAATTTGGGATAACCTAAGCTCTTCTGTATAGCTTTCTGATATGTATACAGTCTCTCTCTTATGTTCTTGATGCTGTGGCTTTTTCCCTTATGCTGAGAAGTGGCATTTGCATTCAAGTTAACTACCTTGTCTTCCCAAGGATCTGTAAAGCACCCCACATTTATTTGGACACCATGTAAAAGCTGACTTTAGTTTGATCAAATAGCTGACTATCGTCATTTAGTAACTTGCCTTTACATATTATTCATCCGTGCACTTTCTGCTGTTAAAGTTTTATGTAGTTCCAATTTTGAAATCAGAACTATTCTTATTTATTTCATGTTTGACTCTGTCACGGTGGGGTCCTACAGGAGGGCCGTGATCTCCTTAAGGCCCCCTCTTCCGTGCCAAGTCAGCCCAAGGTGCACCCTCAGATTCTAGCCCGCCACGTCTTTGATGTTTAGGTAAAGTTGGGAGGCTGCCTCACGTCTCCTTGGGCACGGTTAGTTGGGACCTCTGTCCCCGTGTTTTCCCGGACCCACTGGGGGTCTCCCTGTATGATGGGTGCTTCCCAGGCACCCTAGCCTTATGGGCTATGCGTGGCTCCAACCTCCCCTGATACCACGCCCCAAGCCTCGCAGATGGGATAGACGTTGGTCTGTCTCTATAGATACACCGCCCGTCTCTCGGGCCTCCTCTGTACACTCGCCCACTCTCTGGGGCCTCCTGTGCTTACTATGGGCCTCCTCAATCAAACCGCCCACTTCTAGGGCTCTCTGCAGCTGCACTGGGCCTTCTCAGTCTAACCGCCCTCTCTCGGGGTGCTCCTCTAATGCTGCCCCTCTCCCGGGGCTCTCGGCGCCCAGTCTGGGCCGTCTCTGTAACATCGCCCCTCTCCTGGGGCTCTCTGTACCAGCGCCCCTTTCCTGGGGACCTCTCTATAATGCCGCCCCTCTCCTGGGGACTTCTGTGCCCCCTCTGGGACTTCTCGGCTACACCACCTGACTCCCCGGCCCACCGCACTGCTACCCCCTTTCTCCCGGGCTCACCGCACCACTCCCCCCTCTCCCTGGGGTTTACCACAGTACTTTGCCCTTTCCGGGGTTTACCACAGTACTCTGCCTTCCACAGGGGCTCACCACGTCCACCCTGGGGCTTCTCAGTAGTACCCCTTCTCTGGGGCTTCTCAGAAGTGCGACCCCCCTTCTGGGGCTTGCCGTGCCCAACTTGGGCTACTCAATATGGTCCCCTCTCTGGGGCTCACCACGCCCACGCCTGGGCTTCTCAAAAGTGCCCCTCTCTAGGGCTGGGGTCTATACACCCCGTATGCTGCACCCTCCTGGGCGCCGGGGTCCTCACGCTCCGCTGTGAGGCCCCTTTAAGGATACTGCACCCTCACTGGCGGGTCCCCACACCACTGTGGGCCCCTCCTGAGTATGCTGCGCCCTCACTGGCGTCGGGGTCCCCACACCACTGTGGGCCCCTCCTGAGTATGCTGCGCCCTCACTGGCGTCGGGGTCCCCACACCACTGTGGGCCCCTCCTGAGTATGCTGCGCCCTCACTGGCGTCGGGGTCCCCACACCACTGTGGGCCCCTCCTGAGTATGCTGCGCCCTCACTGGCGTCGGGGTCCCCACACCACTGTGGGCCCCTCCTGAGTATGCTGCGCCCTCACTGGCGTCGGGGTCCCCACACCACTGTGGGCCCCTCCTGAGTATGCTGCGCCCTCACTGGCGTCGGGGTCCCCACACCACTGTGGGCCCCTCCTGAGTATGCTGCGCCCTCACTGGCGTCGGGGTCCCCACACCACTGTGGGCCCCTCCTGAGTATGCTGCGCCCTCACTGGCGTCGGGGTCCCCACACCACTGTGGGCCCCTCCTGAGTATGCTGCGCCCTCACTGGCGTCGGGGTCCCCACACCACTGTGGGCCCCTCCTGAGTATGCTGCGCCCTCACTGGCGTCGGGGTCCCCACACCACTGTGGGCCCCTCCTGAGTATGCTGCGCCCTCACTGGCGTCGGGGTCCCCACACCACTGTGGGCCCCTCCTGAGTATGCTGCGCCCTCACTGGCGTCGGGGTCCCCACACCACTGTGGGCCCCTCCTGAGTATGCTGCGCCCTCACTGGCGTCGGGGTCCCCACACCACTGTGGGCCCCTCCTGAGTATGCTGCGCCCTCACTGGCGCCGGGGTCCTCACACTTCGTTGTGAGTCCCCAATGAGTACGCTGCGCCCTCCCTGGCGCCGGGGTCCCCACGTCGCTGGGGGTTCCCCCTGAGGCCTCCTCCAACCCCTTATAGCCTCACCCTAGCCACCGGTGTAATACATAACAACACAAACTCGAGCCTCCTGGCTATAACTCAAACATACTCCCTCTGGTTATAACGACCGAAGTCTCCTGGCTATAACTTAGCATCATTGCTCAAGCCTCCAGAGCTATCATGAGCTGTACTTGCTGTAAGGCTTCTCCTCACATCCTAGCTCCAGGAGCTCCTGCCCCTCTAGCTGCTGGCAGGGAACTGCTAGCCTGGCCTCGGCCCCTGGGCCTTATGAGGGCCAGGCCCTGCCCCTTCCAGTCAGCTGACTTCCTGGTTGCCCCTGGCAACCCCCAGCTGTGCTTGTTATGTCCTGCCAGCTGGCAGTTTCCACTCTCTAGGAGCAGAGCACTGAGGTGCCCTGCGACAGACTCCCTTTTAATCTGGTGTGGGAGGTTTTAGGCATTTTTTTGGTTGTGTGTTTCTTTTGCACACTTTCCATCTTTGCTCCTGTTAGAAGCAGCAGTCAGCACAGCATGCAGAAAGGGCAGCTAGATAAGAATGAAAGCAACTAGGTTCCTAATCCCTCACTTATCCACTGCATGATACTCTCTCTTTTTAGAAGTGGACCTTTGAAAGGTCACTAATTCCTTGTGGATCTTTTCTTCAAGCTAATTTTTGTAATGAAACATGCTTCCTGGGTTTTTATATTTTTTTCAGACCTAGCCCACCCCATGAGAAGCTGGGACAGATACAAAAGTGGTTCTTCATAGATGTCTGTGTTTTATTTTCCCACCAAACTAACCAACAGTTTGAACTGAAGTTCAAAATGCCACCTTTACCAGTTAGATTCTGCTCTTGATGCTGCTTATAACTTAACATTAATGAAAGATTATGATCTGATACTGAAGAAAAGCTTTGCACTATCCCTCTGGCATTCAGTCCTGAGTCATTAGGTAGAGATAAGAGTTTAAATGGTTTCACTTAACATGTTAGATATTTGAGACAGCATGTTCAGGGCCTCAAAGGCTCAAGAAACTGGCATAGCAAGAAACCTTTCATTTCTAGGCCCCTGGTTAATCACACTTTATCATGTGATTAATGTGTTAATCATACAATAAATGGCAACATGCCACACATGCAAGATATTTAAGATGCAATGAAATGCCAAACCATCCATAAATATTCCATTAAATGTGGAACATCTTTGTGGCTGCTTTATATCACTCTTAACTTTGAACATGTGGCATGTAGGTTTCTAGGTGTAGTGTGTACTGTCTAGCTGCATGTGCACCCTTTGAATATGCCTGCCTGTGGGGAGCTAACATATTCAAAGTGCAGTGGTGTTGCAGTGGTTTCAATAGTTTTGGGCCCAGAAAATCCAAATGGGTGAGCATCTCCCCAGTGTTGGGCTCGTGCTGCCCCAGGACCTTAAGAAAAGCAGATGCAGAGTCTGGCTTGGGGGAACTGGTTTCCAGTGCTGGGCTACACAGCTTGCCTTTCATATTCCTGGCAGATTGGAGCCTGCCTCAGGGACCATGTTCCAATGGCAGGGTTCCTACGCTGGCAGTCCCATGATCGGGATGGGAGGAATTTGGTCCCCAGTCCTAGAAATCATGCATCCTACCATGCATGTCTGGCATTGCAGGATGCACAGATTTGGGGATCAGGCATAAAAGATCTCAGTCATAAAATTATATTAACATCTGCCATGATCCTAGTCACTGATTTTAGCCCAGTTCACCTAGATAATTCAAAGTTTGCATTCTGTTTGCTAGTCTGTATGAAATGAGCTGAAGCATTTATAGTGCAACTGGCTCCTTTTTTTGCCTTATGTAGAGCACCCAAAACTGAAAAGGCTCAGAGTCCTGTAAATGTTGCCTCTCCAGAAAATTGCAGGGAAACTTGAACTACTTCTGCATGAGCTGTACTAGTTCAGTGGATGACCTGCATGTTACTTGTAACTAACCTTGTTGATTATAATTTGCAGTTTCTTGGAGTAGTATGTATATTTATTTACTGCCTAACATACGGTAATTTTACTGTTTCAAGTGATTGTGTTCTGAGATCAGAGAAGACCCCTGAATTTTGCCAAAATTCACTACATTTTTACTGATACCACGCCTTGATTTACAGGGTTTCATTGTACATGCAGATGGTTATATAATAGGCTAATTCCTTAAGAAGACTTTTTATCATTATTCACCTAGACAGGAATTCTAATTGTAGTAAAGCTTAGGCTCGCAAAATTCTGGGCTGATATGTCATTGTATTTTGTGTTTCCATCATCTTTAGTTTCATTGTTCCTTGTGCTGCACACAGCATATTTCTTTTTTTCCAAAGAAAACAAAGCTCCTCTCCTTGAATGCCAAAATTTTTTTAAAAGCACACCATCTGTCCAGAAAAAGAATTACTGTAATGATTCCCTCCACTGGGTACATTAAATATACAAATTATTTACTCAATATAATCTTTGTTTTTCTGTTTATTCGCAGATGTTGGGGTTGGCACAGGGATGTTTTGACCAAACTCTTCCATATACAAAGGAAAGAGTCCAGTTTGGGAAAAGCATATTTGATTTCCAGGTACATATTATTGTATGTATTAAAAGTGATCTATTTTAATAACCAAGTAGTAATTATCCCAATAGAGGATGTCAGCAATAAATAATATAATTACATAACTGTAGTGCTTTCTGGCTGTATAAGACTTCTCCTCAAAGTCTATAAATTGCAGATTCAGAAGAATTTCAGGAGATTCTTCGTTTGGTATGTAAGATATACAGATCTAATGATATATCTGTTTTTACAGATATTTTGTATGCCAAGCAACACTTTAGTTTAATCTGATACTATTGTTTACAATAAAAAGAATAAAGTATGTGCACTACCTTTAAAAGAATACACTAGAACTAGTATCTTTTTTTTGTCCTTGCTGTAAATTTGTTTACATCTTTAGGCCATATTATCCCCTAGGTAGGAAAGATATTTTCTCTCTAGACACTGAAAATACTAAAAAAGATAAGGAGAAGCTCAAGGAAGTTTAATGATGATAGTCTGTGCTTTATACAAAGACACTTAGTTCTCTTGAAATCTGTATCTTAAAATGAAACAAGATTATCTAATTTGTTGCAAAAATGATGTATAGGTTAATAAGGAAGATGTATAATTGAAATTACTATAGTGATTTTCCTGTTCAAAGGAAAGTAGGTCTCTGAAGGGAAGGAACATTAGTACTACAGATACTTTATAAAAAATTTAGGAAGCACCCAGAGATTGCTAGGAAATTAGTAGAAATGGGTCCCTTGAAAGGAAATGAATTTTATAATTGCCTTGTAATTGTGTTATTTTGACCTTTACATATTTTTGCAAATTTTAGGGAGCACAATAGTGTTAACGTTGGGTGAGTAATAATGTGTTTAGAAAGTTTTCAGGGTATTGGGCAGTAAGCTGGATCCTTTAAATGTTCATTGCCAAACAACTTAGTTTTGGAGTCTTTCAAAAAAAATAAGGGGGTTTTCTTTTTTTTAAAGAAAGCACAATATAATGGTAATATATAATTGGACTGATAAATCATACTTTTGACCTTAACGCTTTTGTTAAGTTACTTTCTTTCTCTTTTTTTAAGTTATGACCAGAAGTGAGAATCTGCTCCACAGGGTAGTAGCTCAGTTCTGACTAATTTTAAGACGATTGTGAAAGTGTGGCTTCTTCCCTGCAGACTGCATTCTTCAATAGGCTGCCAGAAGAGATTTATACTTGGGTGGGATATTGAGGATGGGCTTTTATCCTGCCTTAAATTTTAATGTCTTAGACTGGCTTATGGATGTAGACGTTTTTCTTTCCCCACCCCTTGCTTTCCCTGTTCTTCTCTATGCCCATCACATTTCCTTGTGTTCTCTTGTTCTCTCATCCTTCCATAAACACCATTCTCCTTCTGCCACTTACAAAGCTCTCCATGCTAAAAGAGATAGTATAGCTACTGCTACTCAGTACACTGGCATCACATTTTACTGCATTTAACCTGTCAGAGAAGAAGAGAGGAGAGAGATACCTTTCCTCTCTGAGATGTAAACACAACCCTCCCAAAGTAAACGAACAATTCCTGTCATCTTCCTACCAGACAGTGTCTGGATGAGTAATAGGTCTATTTTATATTTCAAACATTTTTTAATCATTTGAAGCTTGATAGAGCACATACACATGAGAACAACTAAGTAAAGCATGGCCCACTGTTGCTACAGGTAATCAGAGAGAAGGAAATGAAAACAAGGAAAAAACAAAACATGGCAATTTACCTTTCAAAGGCACAGATCACACTATGCAGCACAATTCCTCACATTCCTCACCTGATCTAATGTATGCGGTATCAGTACATGAGCTTTCTTCAGCCTGATCTAGGAAAAGAGAACTCCAGTGAGCACCAAATAACTTAAGCCATCTTCAGCTGGAGAATGTAGATTTGAGTCTTTTGAAAAGCAAAATAAGTAATTTTTTGCCAGAAGCTGATATTGGTTTTAAACTTGAGTTATCTAGGAATAATATGTTGAATGTTTCTTTGATAAGTTCCATGTAATTTGGGAGACTGGTTATTACAGGGAATGCAACATCAAATAGCTCAAGTGGCCACTCAACTGGAAGCTGCCAGGTTGCTGACTTACAATGCCACCCGACTTGCAGAAACTGGAAAGCCATTCATAAAAGAGGCAAGCATGGCCAAATACTATGCTGCAGAGGTAACTCTTTATTTTTTTTAATTGAGGAAGTGTTCTTCACTTTGTTTTAAACATTGATTGATTACTGAATGCATTTCTTTTTTAAATTACTTACTTTTAAAATCTGTGAATGTGTTCTCCTTGTTTCTAGCTTGCAGTTTTCAAAGTGACAAGGAAGAGAACAACTGAATGAAAAAGCAACATAAACTCCCTAAATAAGATATCAAAAACCCAAACAGCAGCACTTAAAAAACAAGTGCATTGTTATGGTCAAGTTCAAGGGTTGGCAGTCTATTGCCCATGGATACATGGGATCCAGCCTGCAGATGTGGGGCTTTGGAGGCAGTGGGCTTTGACTATTGGTATTCACTCCATACTGCTGCAGCAGCAACCGCTGGCTGCAGCTGGGTCTTTGCACCTATTCACACACCCATTTCTGACCCAGGGTTAGTTGTTTTGGCCCACATTTGGAAAAGGTTGCCTATTCCTGGTCAAGTTGGTTATACCGATATTCACATACAGAGAAGGAAAATACCATTACCACAGGTTTATTAATCACTGTGGCGATATGAGATGGGGGAATTTAATTTGAGATCATAAAGGCATCTCTTGCAGTTCTCCCAGTCAGAACAAGAATGCCAAAATAAGATCTAAAAATGCCTGCAGGCAAATGCAGAATCACTTCCTTTTCACGTTAATTGCTGTTTTGACTATACTGGAAGTCTCTTACCTGAGAGGTAATAGGAAAGTACAGCTATTGAAAATAACTGTGACTTCTTGATGTTATGGAGAGAGAGAAATGAAAATGATCTTTATGTTTGAGCACAAATAACATTCTTATAAGTAACACTTCCATAATGTATATGGGTTACATGTCAGAAATACTAATCTTTCCTTTTCCCTCCAGTTGTTCTCATTATTGCTTTATTTCTGAAAACGGATACAAAGCTGAAATTTACTCATGTCTTGGCAAAAGTGTATTATAAAATGGTAATTGTGAAATTCATTTTGTATAGGTTGCAACATTGACAACTAGTAAATGTATTGAATGGATGGGTGGAGCAGGATTCACAAAAGATTACCCAGTTGAAAAGTATTACCGAGACTGCAAGATTGGTAAGTAGAAATTTCTTCCTGAATGCATAAAACAGAATTTAAGATTGGTTTTGTTTATAGATTTAGGTTTGAATGAGATGATAGCAACTTGATAAAGATGTTTTCCTTTTAGCTTAATATAGTTACTCAGGTCTGATGGTGATAAGGGTCATACAAGTATGAAGTAAGTCAGTCCATCCTATTTAATTCAGTGTAAATATGGATAAACACTTCACCTTGTTTAATGAGAACATTATTAAGATTCAAAAAAATCAAAGGTACCATTTTTGCAATTGGGTGAAGTTGGCACGTTAGGAGGCTAAGGCCATGTTCAAATTGCAAGCCTACCATACCCACCATCAGTGCACCCTCCCTCACACTGTACTGCTACCCATGGGCTCCCTGCTGCACTAAAATGAAGTGTAGCTGCCTCCATGCTGCACTAATTAGCACTGCTGAGTGATAGTGCTAGTTAACCTACCCCATACTAATTAGCCCTCCCACAGTGCTATACAGATGTAGTTATATTCCCCATACTTCAGGAGAGAGAATTTGCAGCGCAGTTCTAAGCATTTGGGGGTACTGCTGCTGGGTGTAGTCTAGATATGACCTAAGTTTGCATTTTCAATATAACTTCTCCTTTTGGAAGTCTAAGAAGATTTTTTATTTGGTCATTGCTTTCAATTTTGCTCTTTGGTTTTAAATTTTAATTGCTGATGTTCATTGTAAATATTTTATATTTGTATTTGAAACATGGGATTTGAAATTCAGGAAAATGCCTTACCCTCAATAATAGCTAGATGCTTCATGGTTGTAATCAACAGCGAAATATTTTAATAGTTTATGTGAATGACACATTTTTGTACATACAAATGCACCCCCGCCCCCCAAATTTAGCTGCTGGAAATTGCAGTGTACATTATAAGTGAGGAAATATGGTAATAGTAGTTTCTGCCTCGGCAGGTGTGGGGGTGTAACACTGGCTGCAGACATTTTCTTTTTTCTCCAGCATGCTGCAAAAGCTACTACTCAGTTACTAACTGTTCCTTACCAGTATTTTCAAAGGAGAATCTCTCTTTCTTCATTTTAGCTCTCAAAAACAAAGTGCATATATTATTCAGGGCTGTGTTGTACACAAGAAAATACAGTATTAGCTCAGATTCTGGTTACTGTATACTAAGTCTTTTGCTTTACAATTATAGAGCTCTAATTGGGTCGTTAAAGCAAGGTCTTAAACCACTGTTAATTTGCTAACTTGAGTTTTATGTCCTTTGATTTGTTTCAGGCACAATATATGAAGGGACTTCGAATATCCAGTTGAGCACCATTGCAAAATGTATAGCTCAAGAATACTGAAAACCCCAAGGAGCTCTTGATTATTTTAGGGCTGATTTCACTGAAAATTAGAATCAGCATGTCTCAGTGGTGAAATGGTACATTAATTTCCAAATTGTGGGTTAAAAATGCCTGATCATTGAATTTACTTCTTAATATGCTTCTAAAATAATGAAATCATTTAAATGATTGGACTGTTTCAGATTCAAGAAGCATGTCTTGGGTCTGGCAAAAATAAATGAACAATGAAACGAGAGGCCAAATCTTTGGCTTAATTTCACAGTACAAATGGCACTTACCGTGATCTCAGCAAGGCAACTGAAGATTTTCCCCCAGCACAGAAGAATTATGGTTTGATATAAAAATTGTGGGTTGCTACCTGTTTTCCTTCAGTGGCATGTGACAGGGGAAATGACAAGTATGTAGGCATGGCAGGATACATCTGTGGAGTTCAGTACTCCTTCCTGTTTGGTGGAGCATTTTGTCTGGGACTGCTTCAACTGGGGTAATTCTGAGAGCAGCCCTTAGCTTGTTGTGAATTGTATCTGGGCAGCTTGGCCCTGCCAGGCCCAGTTGGGAATATTGAAAGGTGATTAATAGCCACCTGCTAGCCTATCCTCTTCTTAGCTATTAAGGATTTTAATCTAAGAGGCTATTTATATCTCCCTCTTTTAAAAGTTAAAAGTTAAAATCTTTGTAAAATGTGTTAAAGAATCATTCATTTATATAATGAACAGATTAAGTGAAATTTTGCAGAACTATTAGGGCTTTTTGCAAAGGACAGAGAGATAAGGTAGTTAATAGGAAAGCTGTAGGAATACTTATCACTTATGATCCCTTCTATGTTCCATGCTCAGAATTAATGTTTCCCAAACATTAATTCTTATAACCTTCCTGAAGGAAGGTGCTATCAGGTTCCAGACGGGGGAGACTCACTTGTAGAAATTGAAGTAGCTCAACGAATAGGGATGTTTGTATCTCTTATGTCCCAATGATACAAAGGCTGAAAAGCCTGAATCACAATTTTTCCCATTTGTTGTATAGCAATGTTCAGGTTCCTGGTTAGTGTACCCTGATGGGCCTTTTTCCCTCAGAAGATTCTTCAGTGATCAGAGAACTAATAAATGTAGATATCACAAGAATCAAGAGGTTGAAAACTGAGCAACTGAGAGTGATTTTAAACTGTTTACCAGTTTAATGGAAGATAAGCCTTTGTTTAAAATTCAGAATTGAAATGAAGTTTGAGAGTCCTCCCATTGTCCTCCAGCAGAAACAGAGCAGGGCAGATTTAGCCTTCTTGTTACCCATTTTCCAGTATATAAAGAAATAAAAAATGCACAGTGCCATTTTTATTTTTTTTTAATTTTAGAGGTCTCTTTTTTTAAATATTTTTTTTTACTTTTGCTAAGCCAGAAAAGGAGGTCGCAGCAGTGATTTTAAAATTTGATACTTCCTTAGTGCCAATCATGTGCTTCTGCTGTGTACCATTCCTCCCTCTATGGTTGTGTCTCTTCCTACTTGCCAACAAATGCTTAATAAATAAGGGTGACACTTGTCCCATTGCTGAACAGTATGAGCAGCTCAGTATTATTTGATCAGTGATTTTGGGCTGTTTGTAGGTTCATTTTCAGTTGAATTCAAAGAAAGTTCAATCAGAATTAAGCCTCATATTCAGTGTACCAATTATCTTGATTTACTCCACTTCAGCTAGCTCAAACAAGACTAGCCACATTGCAAATCACCTGAGCTAGATAGAACGGTTTGAAAAGCAGCTGAGGAGCTGTCCCAGCTTGTGCTCTACTCTCCAATTTCATCCTCAGTCTTTCACTAGTTTAAGTCAGCAGCATTCAAGCTTCAGCCTGTATCCCCTTACTAGGGACAGAAATTACACACAAACCAGTTTAAGTGATCAGAAACTGGTTTAAACCTGTAAAAGAACAGAAGTTCAGTGTATATAAACCAGTTTCAAAATGGCTGAAACTGGTTTAAGATAAACCTGGTTGAATGTAGTATTAGACTTAATTGATTTAGGTCAAACCAATTTATGAAACTTCTGCCCCTGACCCCTTCCTGATTCAAGTTAAATCAGAGTCCCCCAGCATCCCAACATGCTTTGCAGTCCTGGGCTGTACTGTCTGCCTGAGAGAGCAGGACTGGCCCCGCCCCGCTAATCCCTAGCCGGAGCAGTGAGGGCTGGCTCACTGACCTCATTGGCTGGCTCACTGCCCCCCCCACACCCCAGGCAAAGCCTTGCAGACTGCTCTGAATTGCATTCTGCCATTAACACTAGGGAATAGTCTCAGCATTAAAATGCTCCTGATGCCACCCTGTGCCAGGGGCTCCTTTGAGTGTCGTGGAGTTGGCTTTTATGCCTGTCAACAAAGTCTGCTATTTTGGGACTGGAACTCAGAACTGCTTTTTACCCCGTTAAGCTGTTGTAAAGTGCTGCAATGCTCCTGCGGATTCCCCTTTTTGTGCCTTTAGCCAGCCCATGCAAACAATTGCAATGAAACTGCATCTTTAGGAACAAAATGCTATCTTTGGCTTTCTTGAACAGGAAAACACAAATATTAAGATTGTATACAAGTGCCTGTAGTTTTTTCTCTAAATATAGCATTGGAATCTTGCATCTGCTTTATATTCTCTTAACCTCTCATTTTAAATCATGCCTCAGAACTACGCATTTTGTAAATTTAACTGGGGTGTAAATAAAAAAGTTTTGGTCATGCCTTTGTGCACTTTTATTCTGATTCTTCTTAAAGCTCTGAGGTAAGTATCAATTAAGGAAAGCATTACATTGACAGTATTCAATCGCAGTATTTTATATGATGTCTTCTGTAGTCGTTTTTTCTTTCATATTTTTCTTCTGTTTTGTATCGAGATGATATGCTGCTTCTGTAAAATTACTTGTTATACTTAAGAAAATTAAAAAGAAATATTTGTTTTTATAGGAAAATTGTATGAAATATAAAACCGTTGACTATGTTTTTTTTAAAAGAAACTCATTTTTTGATATATAGATGGAGGCTATAATGTGAACAAATAATGCTGAATTTGCGGTATTTATAGGATACTAGCCAATTTCCCATCAAGAATGATAGGGGTTGTGGGCAGAGGCCCGTGTCCGGCCCCCGACACCCCCTCCGCCCTCCAGGTCTATCCCTGCTCCCCTGTCTGCCTCCCCCTCTCCCCCCGCCGGAGTCCTGCAGAGGTCCATGATTGTGTTAGGTTTGGCTACGAATTTTCTTGAGTTAGTTTTGTAGTCTGACAAGTTTGTACATGCTGAGATGGAGACCTTAAAAAAAAAAGTAAATAGCTAAGCACTGACATTGCTTCCAACACTGTAAAGCCTATTTGTGAAGTAGGAAGAGTCCTATTATCATATTAGCCTTGTTCCCTATGATGCTAACTTCAGTAGTTGCTCAAACATCATATTCATGGTTAATTCTTTTCATAAGCTTACACTTATTTATTTGCTTTTACTGCAAAAAGAACTAACAATATGTCTTCAAAATCTGTAGCCTCTTTTAGAGAGAGCACCAGACTCAGAACATAAGCAGGCCCAGTACAACCTCTCTATGGAAAAATAACCTTCTAGCTATTCTTAATTAATAAAACATTCAAGATGGGCAGAAAACAAGTATGATACTTTCTTCTAAATGTTATTTTTAAGCCATTCTAGAACAGAGTATGTTTTGAACACCATTGCCTAGATAATGTGAAGTTTTATGCTAACGTAACAAAAAGAAATTACAAGAACAATTTCACTAAAGAAGCCAATTCTACAATTATTTGGTATAAAATGACTCAGGTATATAGAAACAGATCTTTTCTCAAAAGTAAACATTTTTCCAATCACTTTTGTTAACTGACACACAAGTATGTCACTAATATCAGACAACATATCTCCTGAAATTGCCACTGGGTCAGTACAACCCAGAGGCAATTTCAAGAAGAAAAGATGAAAGGTGGGGGTGAGATGAGAGAACAAAACCATGTACATGATGATCAGCCCTGCTTAAATAGCAAGTTTTATATTGAGCTGAATACTATTCAATTTGTCCATTGGCTGAACATTTATGTTAAGGTCAGAGTTAAAAAGAACATCTAATGTGCAACCTTCTGCTTTTCTAGTCAAGGGAAGTTTTTAAAATGAGTTATTTTAAATGCATTTAAAATTCCTAAAACTATTAGTAATATTTGTATTGTTTTTCCTTTTTGTCAGTCATTTTGGATTTAAGTCCTTCTGGTCAGTAGATAATACCTCTGGACTAAATATATATAGCATAGATTGTGAAAAGATCAATTTCCAGGTGACTTTTTAAATACTATTAGATGTATGCGTGCACGCACACACGTGTTCACACATTTACACACCAGTTCTCGCAATAGCCAAGGAATCAGAACGTAAAACCTGCCCTATACTGGGTCAGACTATAGGTCCATCTTACCCGGTATCCTGTGTCACACAGGACTCAGCCACGTGATCACATTCATATAACACCCAGCAGCTCCCAGTGAGATTCCTTCCCCCATTGGGAGCAAGGGGGAAGGGGTTGCTGTGTGCTGAGCACTTTCAAACATCTGGCCAAATACATCTAAAAGATGCTTGATGAATGAAACAAGGCAGGAGAACAATTGGTGTTTTTCATAATGCTGTCAGACAAGGAAAAAGATCCTAACACTCATCAGGCAGAAAACCTCCAATACAATAATAAAGAAAATCCTTAACTTCCACACCTGCTGTCTTACATAAGGGGGACCATCTGCCCAGGAAATCAGCAGTTATGAACAGAAGTGTGTGTGCCATGCTTTTCTACCCACCAGAACCAAGGGGCTGCTAACATTAATTACTTTAGAATGCTACATTGGCCACTGTTGTTATTTGCATCCGTTAAAAAAAAAAATCTATTACAAATCAACAGAGCCCAAGGCTCTCCCGTTCCTGTTTGTTAATGGGAGTGGAGGAGAAACATTTCCTATTAGTGAATCAGTCAAAAGATTCTCAGTCAAAAGAACAAGGTTTAGCTGCTTTTGATCCTGTCGATGGTGGGGAGGTGTTGTCGTGCAGTGTGTTTCATGTGTAGCAGGAGTGGATTCCTTCTCTGGAGATGAACCAGAGGGTTATAGTGAGTGAATGCTTATCTGGCTCAGGGTTGAAAGGGTATTAATATCTCCCTTGTATTACGTATATATGAGGCCAGATAAGGAAGCAGAACATTTCTTAGGTTTTTCTCACAGCTGTGCACCTGCAACACTGCTGAAAAAATGGATGTCGATTTTCTTTGTAGTAGTGCAGTAGTTCTCAAAACCTTTTGGACTTGCGGCACCTTTCACTGGACTTGAGGCACCTCCATAACTTTTGTGAATTGAATGGCGTCCAATTTCAAAAGCTAGTTTATTACAGAGCTATTCTCCTTGTGGGGCAGTGGTTGGGAATCAGGCGAGCAGAAAGGAGAGACAGCCTAAGCCTGAGCTGCAGCACCTTGGTTGAGAATCACTGAGAAAAGAGAGGGATATGCTGCATTCTGGCTGCGATATGCACTGTGTGCTTCATACGTAGAACTTGTCTCTAGTATTTTGAACCAAATGACGTGGCTGCTCAGTTTTTGATGAATCTGGAAGAGTTCGCTGCTTAGAGAACTAGCTGGCTGAAGCACCAGCCACATAAAAGCAGTGAAAGTGGTTTAGGGAAATAACTGGAAGAAGAATTACACCTTTATTTGATGGGATGTTGCCTGCTTTTTGTTATGAAGTTTTAGTTAACGATTCCTTTTGAATCAAGACTGATTCTGGGTATCCATATAGCAATGAAGTTGAAGATTAAGTTTTCTTTTTCATTTGTATTTATTAAAGAGCCTAATCTGTGCTTTTAGAGGGAAATATTTCAACTAACTTTGGTCTTTACTAAGTCAGGTTATTGTATGTAGGTTCAAGACCACTCCAACTTGAGTTAACAGGCAGCTTAGTGATTCTTGAGCAGAGACTAGGAATCAGTCTATGTACTGATTACTAAATACCTATCTACTTTAGATAGTACTGGCATTCAGTTTATTGTTGGATGCTATTCAAGCTAATGATTTGGACCTACAAAACATTTGGAAGTCCTGTGTATTTTAGAAACCAGCCCCTTTACCTAATGTGTTACTTTGACATACAAAATCAATGGGGCCTTTTAAAGCAGCCTCAAGATTTGTATATAATTGAAAATCTCTAGACCAGAATTCACTTCTTCCTTCATGCTACAAAACCTGTTGGCCTGTCCAGTCAAAAAAGCTTCATAACTATACTGAAAAGTGTGAGTTTTAATCAATATAATTAATTGGAAGACTGCCTAGCCACCTTTACTTCAGTTTAGCTCCAGTCTATTAGAATCAGTTATACTAAACCTCAATAAACTGGAATTTGTATAACTTCCATTACATTGGATTAAAAAACAATTTCCATTTGATGCATCTGATGTAGAGCAGGCCTGAATTTAACTGCTAGTTTTCAGGGCCTAATATAGGCATGTATACACACAATGCAGGCATTTATACATGTGCTCTGGGAGTATATAGGCACCTTGAGTCCAGCTTTTCTTGCAGGGGTGAGTTAAATGGAAAAGATGTTCAGTTTTTACTGACCTGGCAGAGGGTGCTTTCAAGGTTTTTGTGACATTATCTATGGAGGTTTCTGTTGAATGTGTTGAAATTGTGTGTGGAGCTGTTGTGATGGGCATAAATCAGAAACTGAAATAAAAAACTAGACTTAAGGGCACTTGTCTCATTTTTAGGACACAGAAAGCAGAGAACATGAGGGCTTGTTTAGATGCAGAAATTGCATTGGATAAACAAAGGGTAAACGTGCTATTTTTGTGTGTACAAGCTAAACTGATAAAATCCTGCTATAAACTGGTATAAGTGTTTGTACACAAAGTTGTACCAATTTATACTTTCAAATAAGCGATGGCTTATGTGTAGACCTCCTCTCTGTCAAACTGTAAAGGAAGATAT